CCTACACGACGCTCTTCCGATCTCCCCAAAACCCCAAAACCCCGCAATGAAATAAAATAAATAAATGTGGATAACTAATAGCAAATATATTAAAACTTAAAAATGTGAGATAATCATCATTATAAGTAAAATATGATAAGTTGCAATGAACTATTGCTGAAGTGGACATTTTTATTGAGTACCACTGATAGTTTTCTTATCACAATCACTATTACAATTTGGTAGATTTATGAGTTGATACTACGTTCTTTGGATTATAAACCTACTACTAGGCATTAGTACTATTTCTTGGGCCACCCCTTTTATTCGCTTGATTTTTATTTGTTTGTTTACCTGCATTTTTGTTGTTTTTATTTTTGTTCTTCTGTGAAAGCACTTGCTTCTTGAATTTCCTCCAGTAATATCTAATCTTAATTTAAGCACTCTCTCTCTAATGCTATCTCATCTATTCTTCAAGTAATTTCTACTACCTCTCTCTTTCTAATCGCATTTTTACTTATCTTTTCTTGATAAATTTCTAAAGAACTTAGGTTGCTGCTGCTTTTCTAATCATTAATTCTTCTTATAGTTTCTTTTAAACAATCCTCCATCTCTTCTATATCCTGAAGGCACATTCGTTTTTCTTTCTTTGTAATTCCATTTCTTACTAAAGCTGTTACTATCTTATTTTTTCCCTATAATCGGCTTAAATCTATCTATATGTTCTCTAGATATAAATGACCTTCTGCTCTTGCATAATTGTAGTTCTCTTTGATTCCAAAATATGCAGAAGTTCATTTTTTGAGAGTTTATTTACTTTTTCCTGTGAGACAAATACTACAAAATTTATTTTAATTTAGCTGATATACTTTGATGCTTTTTATAATAAAACTCAGCAAGTTTTATCCTGAAAGCAAGTGATTACTATTCCTCAAGTCTTCGCTATTCTTTATTTCTTAAGTCTTACAATCTCTTCATTGTCTTCTCTTTATTTAAGGTAGCTGCTGTGAGAGTATTATCTCGGTACATCAAATTCAAAAAGCCCTATTTTAGAATATAAATGGATATATAATAGATTTACCCTAGTAAATTTATGATTTTTACCAAGACTCTCCGGTGAGTAGTTCAGATAATTTGCTTTTTCATTCCTTATAGGGCTGTTCTCAACACTATTAAGAGTAGTGGCATACTTTTATTCTAAATTGTTTTTAATTCTAATTAATTACTGAGAGTATGCATGGTGTTAATTTTAAGCTCATTTTAATCTCTCGTCTTAATGGACATTCTATGTATTTCAGGTAGTTTAATGTGAAAGCTGTTATTCATTTTGTTATTTTCTGGCTTGTTGACTGAAAATGAGTGATTAACCCTATTCGAATTTTGACTAAAGCCAACGTTCTTGAATAGTTGTAGCTTGTTGGACTAGTTATCCATAGCAGGTAAGCGCAATTAGTCTTTCTAACTAACTTGAATGAAACTCTTACATTCCATTATTCTGAATTGATTGATTTATTTATTTTTTTAAAATCTAGTTTTACTTCTAAATCCATCAATTTATCAAGGCGGGGTTTTGGGGTTTTGGGGTTTTGGGG